GTCTCCATCTCTGATACGCTCTCGCCTGTGTCCGACCTTTCAGACATTTCAACATCTTTTTCTGAATCCCACATTGTAGCATGGCATAGACAATTCACGTTTGCAGTTTGAAAAACAACTGCTTGCTTCTGATGATAAATTCTTTTGGCGTCATCATAAATTTGATGAATACCTAACCAATGAGTGTTTGCGTAATATGACATATGCAATTACACTAGTTTTCACTAGTTGTGGATGGCGCCAATGATCTGCACTGGATGGCGCACATGACGGGAAATAAATATTTATAAACATTAAACCGAAGCCAAGAGTAACGAGTAATGTTTGTTTTAAAAATGTAAGGAATAGAAAGTACAGATAATTGTTTGAAAATGTAATAAGTAGAAGTCAGAAGTAGGAAGAAAAATAAGTATTGGAGTAAAGCATAGATAGCTAAAAAGTGTACTCAAGTACAGTAACAAAGTATTTGTACTTCATAGCTTGACACCTCTGCATGTGACTCATCAGTCCTCTTCCATAACTCTGTGGACTTGATTACACATGCGTTCACTGGGTTTGACATGATCTAAGCTGTTTGCCTTGAGAAGTTTATGGAACAGAGAAAAGGGAGTGGATCAGGAGGAGGAGGGAAAGTTAGATGAACTGTGAGCTGCTGTCAGCAGCAGCAAAGCAGCAGAGTCCTGCACACCAAATGTGTGAGAGGAACATGTTGTCCGGAGGCTTGTGTCGTGGAAAAGGCTGGAATCAGAGCAGATAAGAGGACGGATATCTTCAAAGTGAAACACTGACCAGCAGCAGGGATGCACAGCTGCAGATTAAGGGGTAAGAAAATGTAAAATGCATGTGTCCTTTGGACTCTGACTAGATGCTATTCATTTGGAAGGATGAGCAGCACAGGAATCCTTTGTATATGCATACTGATGTGGTGAAATATATAAACATGTTGCATGACAATTTGCAATAAGTTATTACTGCAATGAAATGTGTCTGATGTAGAGGGAAACTGTTTTTTGTTTTGTTTTTTTTCTTAATTTCTTCCTCTATCTTCAATCTGGAATGGTTGACATCACCTTTCAACAGTTAGAAACATCTTAAAGCAATTAAAGCAACCACATTTAATGTGACAAACACACACTTTTATATACAGTAGTCCTTTAAACTGAATGAAAGTGTGTATTCTCATAATAGGAACTTCATTCCACCTTTTAGAAAAAAAGGGTCAGAAAATGTTGCAGTTGTTACATGACTTCATGGTGAGGGACACTCGTATTGGAAATAATCCACATGAATGACCCAGAGGTGCTGTTTAGGACATCCCTGCATGCGGGTTGGGGGGTGTAGAATCCGTGTAAATGTGTAATGAAGGAGAAACAGCTCACTGTCTGTTTGATGACTGCCAATGAAGTGATCGTTCCCTGTGGGCCTGACCCGAATGTTCCACTGACCAGAGACAAACAGCAGATGCACCGTATGCATTCTTACACCCACTACGGGAAATGTGCCAAAAGAAAAATTATGTGCATCCATCATATCTGCAAATGCCCTCTGCAAACACTGCTCACTGGAAAGTATTACTTGCTAAGTATATATCCAAATAGTGTGAGAATGTTCATCTGGAAAGTTCCTAGATGAATAGTTGATTTGACTGCACGGCTCCTGCGGGAAAGACATCCAAAGACGGGTCTCAGTCTTTTTCTGTGGGAAAGACTATTAAAATGTTCTAAAGAAGTCCCTTTGCCTCATGTTTGTAATCTCCTGACAGAAGTCACTCTGTGTGTGATGTCAGAGCTAGAAAATGTTTTGGCAAAAGAAAACTTGGAACAGATTTCTGTTTTGATTTCTCTCTCATGTAATCCTGGCTGATTGAGAAGTATGTGAATGAAATATTAGCTGATAAAAGAATCACATCTGTGCTCATAACCCATTCAATAAAGACAAATGAAGCTCTTTTTATAAACGTTTTTATGCTTCCTGCCACCTTGACAAATCTAAACAAGGATTCAAACTGAACCTTATATCATTCCTTCATTTATCATCTGTATGCCATCTTTGAAGAACATTTTTAAGCATGTAAAGTGCCTCACAAGAGTATTTAAACCCCACTTTTTACATTTAGTCATGTTACACTGACAAACTTCTATCTGTTTTATCAGGATGTATAGAACAAACCACCACAAAGTAGGACAGAGTTTGTAATAACAAAGGAGAGGGATCAATTCCATTTTTCTTACATTTTTTTAAACAAACCAATAACTGAAACAGCCTATAGAGAAAAGGATGGGGCGCATATGCAAAACAATTATAAGCAATATAACAGAAGAATCCAGCAAAGAAAAGTTACAAAAAATAAGAGCATATACTGATAGTATGTTGGAGAATGATATTGAATGCATTTGTGTTTATTAGAGGATAATCTGAAGCTGCAGAGGCAGAAGAAAAGTAAGGAGACTAAGGGAGGCAGACTGATTAACACAAATGGAGCTAAACTAAAGCACAAAGACAGCAGTAAACCAAGGCAGAAAGACTAGCTGAGCTGAAAAATACAAAAAATAAAGGAGAAATACTGTATATAGAAAATATACATAGAACAGAGCTGAAGAACAAAATAAGGAGCAAGGCACAAAGAAATTAACTAAAAAAGGAAATCAGGAAAAGAACAAAAAAGAAAACCCAAACATTGAAAACCAAAATCCATGACAATGTGTGATTTCCTCTCTGCAAATGGAGGCGTTCTGTGAACAATTCCTGAAGACGAAGAAACACAGCAGACAGGTCAAGGATAAAAATGAATATGTAATCTTTAGGACTTAAATCTGCTGGAATAGTTGTAAGAACAAAGCAGAACCAGGCCAGGTACTGAAGGGTGTACAGCAACTGTGGAGAATGTAGTCTGGTCAATTTTGACCTTTTTGCTGATGCCAACAGTTGTTGAGAACGGAGATGGATGTTTACCTTCCCAGGCATAGAGCTTGGAATCCTAAGGTTCTGAGTTCGAGCCCCACTCCCACAGACTGCCACTCTGAGTCCCTGAGCAATACCATTAACTACACACTGCTCATCGGGCACCGCACAATGGCAGCCCACTGCTCCCTAAGGAGATGGGTTAAATGCAGAGGTAAATTTCTCCAATGTGAGGTCAATAAAGTCCAATTATTATTATCATTTTTATTCTTGAAGCCATGTGGAAAAGACAGTTACAGTGGTCTAAAAAAGTCCCTCTGCTTCATGTTTGTAATCTCCTGACAGAAGTCACCTGTGTGTGATGTCATAGCTAGAAAATGTGCCAAACTCTCAAGATATGTAGTTGAATGGGCAAGTATTTCAGTAGAAAACCTAAAATACTCTAAAAATGTCCCAAATACTGCAAACACTATCTACACCACAGCTAAAGTTGGTTTCAGAAAGTATTGACGTAGCTTCTAGAATAAAATGAATACAACATTTTTCACATTTGCTCCAGATTATGTTTCATTTACCAATTTAAAAGGATAAACTATTTCTTGTCGACCAGTCAGCATGAATGAAATACCTTAAACTTCAGTACTCTACATGCTCCTAATATAACACTAACTTTGATTCTGCAGATTTGAAGATGTGGGCATTCATGGGAGCGGTCTATCTTTGTCACTGTGCCACTGGGCAGCTGCTTGAGGCCAAGCTGAAAGGGACACCTCGACTTGTCTGCAGTGTCCCCGGGTCACCAGGCCCGCCCGGCAAACCAGGTCCCAGTGGGCCGCCAGGAGCAGATGGGAATGTTGGCATTCCAGGACGAGACGGCAGGGATGGTAGAAAGGGGGAAAAGGGAGAAAAGGGAGATACAGGTATGATATAATGAAATGAACTGACACTTTATTTAAAATACATAAAATATACATTTTAACGAAATAAAAATGCTTGAAAACAGGTTTAAATCATCATACTTGATTTGCTTTGAAAGATTACCATTCTGTGTGCAACAAGCTAAAAGTTTAGGGTTCATGAACTGAAGAGGTAATAAACCAACTTGTTTAAGAGAGGAAAAAATCATCCTCACACTTTAAAGGAACTAGCAGCAGGATGAGGAAATTAGACGAGTGACACACCTGGCGCTGCGGGGAACTGCAACCACCAGACAAGCCATCAAGAGAGTATGCAGAAACGCTTCACAGACAGGCAATTTTCACTGCACTGGTGATGCCGAAAGACCATTTACTACATGAGGGTTAACTGTTAATATTTGCAGGTTCTATAACAGCAACAAACACAATGTCAAGCAAGTCTTCAGTCAAGCTCAGAACAACAGGAGCCAGTATTCAAGGTGGACAGTTTGATTTCTCAAAACGTTTATTGGAAACAGAACCTTAGGGCGAAGCATCGGCGTCTAAAGCAGGAACCTCTGTGGGTGGAGACAGCAGGTTAGTGACCACATATTTCTGGAAGCGGATGATAACAATAACAATCACTAAGCTGCTCTTATAGTTCAGTCCGAGACCAGAGGTTGAGGTTGATTCCAGCTGATTGGCTGCCAAGGCAACGCAGCGAGCGCCGCCCAGAGAGTCTCAAACGCTGATGTATCATTGTTGGGAGAAGAGGCAGGAGATCAGAACTGAGCAGATGATGGTAGACAAGATAATCCAGAGTCAGGAAACAGTTCCATGTTTGATTCCCAGACATGCAGAGATCCGGCAGCAGTCCGAAGGACAAGTCAGGCAAACAGATCAGATGGGGACAGGCAGGCTCAGAGGTCGACAGGTAGAACAGGTCAGGGTCAGGATCAATCAGAAAACCAAGAATGCTGAAGAACTGCTCCAAATAAACTGGCACTAATGACTGGGAGCAGACAGGTTAAATAGAGACTGAAACAGGTGGATCAGAATGAGAACTGGGCGGAGATAGGCAGGTGAGTGAAATGAGTAATGAAACCAGATATCAGCCCCAAGATCATATCAGTCTTCTGCTACTACTACTGAAATAAAACTTGACATCCTGTACCAAAACTGCTTGGTGCGAAAATGCAGCATCAATTTACATCACATATGTAGGACTGTGGCAAATAAGCCCCCTAATCTCAGCATATTATGCAACATACAGTTCATTCAAGGCAATAGAAAAATACATGGGTTGGCTCATTGGTTTTGGTTTTGAAGCTTCATCAACAAAATTGATGATGCATGTGTACATGTAGTCTTTCACGATTCCTGCCCCTAGATCCTTTAAAAAGTTATCAGATATCACCAACCAAAAACACTAAAGCTACCCTGAATTTTACATATCTAAAGTCAGGGATAAAAAAACAAAACAAAGCAGTATCATGACACCTCCACTGCTATGCTACACAGTTAGCTTCATGCCCTTTCTAATAAAACTATCACCACTGTTAAATACCATGAACCAATTCTTTCAGACAAAGACTTAAGGTGATAACTACAGGTATATCTCCCCCTGGTAAGTAAATGGCACACCCTCTCCTGCCTGCTCCTTTTCTCTATGGTTTGTCGGCTGACTTTTGACATTTAACTTACATGTCAAAAAGGAAAATGCCAATCTCTTTGTAGCTTCTGATCTCCTTTGCTTCCCTAAGTTGACATCAATGTTCAGAAGCCTGACCAATGTTCACTCTGTTTTTTATTTATTTTTCATTTGTTTTCTTGGCCTGAAATTGAGAAATGTGACAGAATTGTAATCAAATTTAAATGTGTTATATACTTTGTACCCATTGCAGCTTTTTTTTTTCTAGTAAAATGAATACATTTTTATTTTTGCTCCACTCTAGACTATTTGTGGTATTTTCCCTCCCAGTAATTGTTTCACACAAGCTGCACTTGATGCCAATCCAAGTTTCTCCCAATATTATTTGTAAATTTGAAATATAAATATGAAACTTTCCGAACTTTGTCAGAGGTAATCAAAACTGCCAGTTGACTTCAGCATTTTATTGACACGTCTTTTGGCTGGTGTGTTTTTATGCACCGCTTGTGAGTTGAGCTGCAAGTCCAACGTAATACTGGGTGTCTAATTAGCCAAGAGACAACTTTTGGAAGAAGCTAACCATGCAATGCAATTTTCAGGCATGTACCAGCAATCCCAAGCCCAGCAACTCTATATTTGTATTAAAGTAACACTGTACAGGTAGATAGAAAACAAGAGGCTTATTACAAATATACTACAATACTTCCCATTTACAAAGGTAAATTAAAATCAATTTAAAGATTTAGATCTTAATGAAGGCTTGTGTGTTTAAATCAAAGTCATACTAAAATATTAGATTATTTGCACGTGAATGGCTTATCTATTATGGAGATCAGATTCTGTAAAAGTTAGAAGCCTTATATTTCACATGCATTTATTTTCTTAAGCATGCTTTAATTGTAACCCTTAGACAAAGGCTCTAATTTAGCTGCAAACCTAGACCTTGCATTTCATACCAACATGAAAATACCAAGATGTCAACACCTATGATGTCTGCAGCACAACAAATCTGTTGACGATTAAAAAAAAGGAAGAGGAAAAAAAGTCACGTGTTTATGTTTTCCATTATGTGTGAAAACATGAATTTCTGTCTAAGCCTTCCGGCCCTCTAAGCCTGCTCAAACATAAAGTGTTTCCATGCTGTGGGATATTTATTCTGGAAGGACCTGATTGGTTATTGGGCAGTGTTGACTGGAATCATGCCAACACTGTGCAGCTCAAATGTCTAGGTGGCTCCATTCCAGTGGTGACCTAATAAATGGAGTGGGCGTAGAGCTACAAATGAAACATCTAATAGAAGAGGAACATAATAAGGAATGAGAACATCATGGGAGCATGACGAAAACATCCGCTCAGCCTTTGAACTTTTCACATGTTACTACATTACGAGCACTAACTGTGGATGACTTTACTAAGATTTCACGTCCCTGATTGACAAAAAGTAGTGCATAAACTGTACAGTGGATGGTAAAATATACACCATTTTCAATATTTCCAAAAGAAAAATCTAACCAGGAAACCCTCTTTCAGATTAAAAAGCTCTTATACCAGAGAGTCATGCCTCAAGACAGACATAACCCGGAGGTTGAGGGTGGAGGAGCTGCAGATTCACTGCTAAGGTTGAATATTCTGCCAATGGGACATCTGTGTCATGCACTCCACAATTCAAGAATAAAGACATAATAAAAGAAATTGTAATGTCGCTGTTGCAGTTTGCTTCCAATTGTTTTTTTCTTTTGGCTAAGAGAGCTGGGCAGATTGGAAGGGGAGCTGTGTTGAGTCAAATACAAGGCAATAAAAGAGAGGCTAAACTCATAGCCAAAGACTAAAGGTTCACACTAAAACATGCAAAGATGGTAGAGAGACATTCAGGAAAGCTTGGTAGTTCTCAGTGGTATTAAATTAGACAGAGATGAGTTCGACTGAATGCCACACATTTCAGATTTCTGTTTTTATTATGAATACATTGTATAGTTTTCTTTACCATTTCGACATTGGTCTATCATAGAATCCATTTAGCAAATATTGAGCTTGTAATGTCACCAAACGTTAAAAAGTTAAACCTCTCAAAACCCACCAGGACCCATTTTAAAGCTTTTACAACTAATAACTCAGAATGCATGAAAATTACACTGGTAAAATGTTTACCAATATAGACATGTTAGACATCATTGAAAAGCTTAGATTCTCCATTATTCATCCACCAAGTCCATTTTATGGACACAGCTAGCATCAGAGCACAATTAACACAGATATAACAGCATGTCAAAATGTAAACATGACAAAGCACCCACAACAAGCAAGAATGTCTTTATTACTGTTGTTCAAAAAAGACCTATTATTTTCAAGAATAAAAAAAAAAACTTTGAGTCTTGTTTGAACTGATGCAGCGTGGGCTGTGTTTTACTCACCCAATTTTCATGTATATATTCAGAAACAAAGGTGTTAGCTTTCAAATATCACACATGTAATTTTGGCTTACAGGTCCTAAGTTATTTGCTTTTCCATTTGGGTATGAAAAATAGGTCATTAGGTGGATGTTAAGAGGTTCAGTGTAAAGCTCTGTAACGCTGAAAAACTCTTATTTGACTTGTTTCTGTTTTAGGGGTAAAGGGCAGAGTTGGCCCAACAGGTAAAATTGGAGAGCGAGGTGAACGCGGCCCTGCTGGAAAACGAGGCCCCACAGGAGATGACGGAGAGGTGGGGCCCCCTGGCCCTCAGGGCCGAGATGGAGACAAGGGGGATAAAGGCGGGCGAGGACCCCGTGGAACAGCGGGAATCTGCAAATGTGGCAGCCTGCTACCGAAATCTGCATTCTCAGTGGGGATCACCAGCAGCTATCCGGCAGAGAAGGTGCCCATCAAGTTCGACAAGGTCCTCTTTAACGAAGGTGGACACTACAACCCGCAGACGGGCAAATTCATCTGTGCATACCCAGGCATTTATTACTTCTCTTATGACATCACACTGGCCAACAAACACCTGGCTATTAGTTTGGTGCAGAACGGTCAGTACCGCATTAAAACCTTTGATGCCAACACTGGAAACCATGACGTGGCGTCTGGGTCCACTGTGATGTTCCTGAACCCAGAGGATGAAGTGTGGATGGAGATCTTCTACACTGATCAGAACGGTTTATTCACAGACTCCAGCTGGGCCGACAGCTTATTCTCTGGATTCCTGCTCTATGCAGACACGAACTACTTCGACACACTGGCAACGGACTATGCATAGAACCGGAAGAGCAAAGCAGAACCAAAAAAAGTGTGTTACTGTTATCATCACACATTCAGCACACCTTTGGGATGAAACAAAACATACCTGTACTGCCTTAAGAATAGAAAGGCATTGATTTAAGGCTGTTTTATTTGGTAAAGCTTTCAGTGATTTATATGATGTTGATTCAAAAATGATGTAAATAAACATTCCAGTCAATTTAAACTAGGTTTTGTTAACTCATTTTGGAAAACACTATAATGTAAATCAAGGTTTTTTTTGTTTTCACTGTTCAATGACCCTCTAATGTTTCCGATCATCAAGCAGTTTTATTTAATCTGACGAGCCAACATGCATAAATACAAGAACAGTTTTTCTTATTTCCTAATTTCCTTTATTTAGGGGGAAAGCTTTTGGAAGGATTGTACAGTAAATAGCAGCTGCTTCCAAACCTAAAATTGTGCAGTGCCATCCTTTAAAGGAAGAGTCTTTTACAGAATAGTCACCCTATCTATATAGAATGGTTTGTTTGTCACATTGGGTGGTTCTAGAGAATTGTCTATTTATGCCACTGCAGAACACTCTAAAAACTTTATTCTATTGTTTCGTTTTTAGCTACACATAGTGGGAGGCTTGCAGGTGTACTTTAAAGTACAACTCAGCTCATAATCTAAAGGTAATGGATCAAAGTAAGACATTGTCCTTCTGGAATTTCAGTAAAAATGCAGAATTTTTGCTTTAGATGTCAAAATCCTGGAGCTGCAAAGCATCTCAAAAGTTACTGGTTCACTGTCTGTATGATGCTCTTTTAGAAAATACTTGTATTAGCTCTATGGCTGTGAGAAAACACCTTGTCTAATTGCTATATTTAGCCCCTGCCTCAAAATATAATGATCAAAGTTTTGTTTAGCAGTAATTTTGGCCTTAGAGGTCTTTTTTTTTTTGGCTTCGTTTCTCCTGGATCTGCAGCTTGGTGTCGCAAAGCCTGATATCTACTTCTTGTTTCATGCAATTCAATCCAGCTTAGTTATACAGCACAAATAAACAATATTTCATGGCACTTAAGAAGTAAGTCAACATACACTTCAACTGATTCCTGTTATGAAAACAATGCAGCCATGTTCAATTCTGTCATGATTGTTTTAAGAGATCTGACCCACATGCAGAGAACCACTCAGAGAACCAGGGAAAAAGTTAATCAGGTTTATTGAGGGAATGAGTACAGGAGTTGGATCTGGAACTCAGTGAACTGGTGAACCGGAACTGGAAAGTCTGGAGGGGAGATCACAGTGATCAGTTCAGGCACCGTAGGAAAGTTCACTGAAGCTTGAATACTGTTGGAGTGGGACTCACATTTGAGGGGGTTCTTGTTTATCCTTGAATCCAGTCTGTGAGGTTTTATCCAGAGAAGAGGAAACTCGTTGGAGAGCGGACAGGTAGACACTCGTAGAACCCGGAGGAGCAATGGAGCGGGCTGTCCCTTGGATTTCCGAAAGGGACTTAAACGGCTCATGTGGATGTTTTCCCCTGCTCAGTGTGAACTCAGTTAATCCTTCCAGGGGGAGAAGGCCAGTCATCCGGTTACACAGGAAGGCTTCCTGCCAAAGAGCAAAGACAAAAAAAACAATGTAAGAATCAGAGAAACTAAGGCTCAGGTTAGACTCAGCTAATCTCAGCTTGGCTAGAGTACCCAAAACTGGCCAACACCCTTGCGTCGAGGTAGTGACAGCCCACTGCTCAAATACTCCTCCAGATAATGATCCAACGAGCCGAAGGTGTGCAGGGAGGCCCAACGAGGTTGGGGCACCACCTGGTGGTGGAGAGAGAAAAACACACAAACAACCCACACAAACTGGATTCCTAACAAATCCAATTCAATTCAGTTTATTTATATAGCACCAATTCACAACCCATCATCTCAAGGCACTTTACAGTTTATATGGAATATTTAAACAGAAATAATCAGCACACACTCGGCATAAGGATTTGGAAGCAAAGTTATTCACCGAATATGGGCATCATACAGAAAGCTTAAATAAAAAAACAACACAGGGTGGAAAACGGGAAGACACATGCAGATCGAATCCACTAATTAACCCAGGGCTGCGGCTGAGGGAGAAGTGAACAGGGATAAACAGGGAAAATGCTGGAAAGGAATTAAAATGAACTACCCACTAATTAAGAAAAACTCTCCAGAGAAAGTAGATTTAAAACAAACTAAAAACACTATAAAAATAAGCTAGGAAGCATCTAATAAACAGAAGTAGTATGGCAAGAACTTAAGAACCAAAAACAAGGCTGTAATATAACCTGCAGATTCTGATATATCACCACTAAAAACAGTGTTAATAGTTAATATTTTAATCTATAAAATAAAAAAAATAAAAAAATGGCTTTTTCTCACAATCCAAAAAACATGACAGTTTTGATTGGTGTCTGCAAATTTCCTCTGAGTGTGAGTGTCTGTGCGTAGTAGTGTCTCCTCATTGTCTGCAAAGATCATCATTTACATAAATTCTCTAAATAGCAAGAGGAAGAGAAGTGCATTTTTAGTGTACAAGTAAAGGATTTTACTTCAGTGTTCACTCTACTTTAGTGCATTGTAAGTTTTTCCACCTAAACACATTTAATAACAGTGTATTAAATCAATATGACGATACTTGACAAAACACTTACAAAATCTGATTTTAGAAAGGCCATATTTTAGCATACTAGTTTTGAATCATACTTGAATATGTAATCTGACTGGAAGTATAATGAGTGTAATAATGTGATATAGCAATACACTCAATACACTGCTGATGTGGAAGACGTGTGTCTCATCTCATTTTTGAGAGCGATCCAGTTATTCCAAATGTTTGGACAGAGGATCTTAGCAGATAACTTTACTATCTAAGGCTCAAAATACGAGTTGAGAGATAAAAATAGTGTTAAAAAAAAAACAAAAACAAAAAAAGGGGAGATACTGGTCATTTCAGTTCATTTAAGCTGTGCCATGTTGGCTGAGGACACAAAATCTCTTTTTGCCTTTGTAATGTTTCCGCTCTTTACTGTGTTTGGTTGTATTGTTTTTTTATTTCTTAGTAAACTGAAGGGGGTTTCTTTTGTCTGTTGTTTTTGTTATCTTTCTCATTTCAGATATTTATAATGTGTTTTTTCTGTTATTTGCCAGTTTTGTTTTTTTTTTTAATCATTATTACTGTTAATTTAGGCTCATTTATAATGCTTACACCAGACAATACTTTGGGAATACTAAGCAGTTTTGTGTTTTTCCTACTCTCTGGTCTAATGGCATTTTTCGTGCTCTTTTTGTGTTCAAATATATAACTCTCGTTTTAATGTGACTTGTAAAACTGTTTTTCTTTTTGTTTGTTTTGTCTGTTTTAATCTTTTACATGTTATTCTTTCCAATAATATTCCCTGTTTTCTCTCCCTATATAGATAAAGAAGTCTTATTTTGTAGTTTTGCCCTTTCCTGTTATCATTTCTTTCTAATTTTTATTCTGAAGTTAACAGGTAGATAAGGAAGATAAAAACAGATAAGGAAGATGGATGACATATTTATTAGAGGCCAATTAAGTAAAGAGGTCTAGGGCCAATTTAAAATAATAATGATAATATTAAAAAAACGTTTTACTCATAAGCATCTTCCAAAAAAATCACATGAACAATGGTTAAAAGTGCAACAAAGAGACAAACAAAATATTTACCTTTACCTTTTACCTTTTATTTACCTTACCGTAAAGGTCTACTGATTTTTTTTATATATGTATAAACAATAAATGCATTCTTTACTTCAAATTATTATTTCTTTGTGCCCACTACCATATTAGGATAACTTGCTGTTTTGTGAATGTTTTAGTTACAGCTTTCACTATCTAATTAGTTATATACCAACATATGAATGGTAAAATTGCTCCCCCTGATTTTTAACTGGTTTATTTTGTTCAGAGGGAGAAATATTATACAGTAAGGTGGGACATTTGAGGGCCAGAAGTTATAAAACACAACCACAAAATTAAGTATAAGGAAGCTATCATGCAGAATTGTAGGAAAACGTTTCTTTAATATGGTAGGCTGAATTACTTTTAACTTTATACTTTAGGTAGTATTTAAAAATGGTAAGTTTACACTCTTAGTTGAGTAAAAGGCTTAAATTACTGCTCTAACTTCAACAAAAGTGTTTTTAAACAATAGGAATTATACTACTTGAGTAATAAACAATCATACTTTTGACACCTCTATTAAAACTTTATAAGATTCAGCTTGGGTGACTTGGTTTGAATCTACTACAAAGAGATCTGGTGTTGTGAAATGTTTAAGTGAGCCAAAAATATAACATACAGACTCAAAAAAACTTTCCCGGTTCCTAAAGGTTCCTGTAATGGAAACCCATTCTTGTCGTCCTGACAGTAAGGATGTCCCTCCTCGCACACCGTAGTAGGAGGGTTGGTCTTGATTGGCATCTATCTGACCAATAAAAATCCTTGTCGCGAGGTAGTTTATGTCGTTACTAGGCAGCGTTAGCGGAGTTCCAGGCGTTAGCAAAAAAGCTAAAAGATAACTACTCATTTATTCACACACATACTGTTAGAAATGTAACCTTTTTTACGACAACTTACTAAATGTTGATGAAAGAAATGTCCGCTTCAAGGTAAACATTTCAACTACTCGGTTAATAAATTAATCTGTTAAGTAATTGAGTTTAACGTGCGTTTAATAAAAAAAAATCATTTCTGTTCAGAGAAATTCGAGAGAAACTACGAAAGAAACAAAGGGCTTTGCACGATACTTTGGTAAAAAATAAAAATGAGGACGACATCCAGGTAAGAATAGATAATCCTACAGTTTGTACAGTACTTAGTGGGCGTACGCAGCCGCTTCGGATGTTATCAGCCTATAAAATGGCCATTATTAGCGGTTATCTGGAGCTATTCTATGGGACATCGGCTAATTAATGGTTGATCACATCCGAATCGGCTGTATCCTGCACACTCATATTTCATTAAGAGGCCATACTTTCAGTGAGCTTTACTTTTAACAAGTCTGATCATAAATGGAAGGAGAAATCACAGCAAAACATAGGAGCTGCTCCTGTTTGATGAATCTAACTATACCCTATAGGCTCTGGTTCCGTCTGCCAACATCAATGTGGACAAACAACCGACTGAAACGAAGGTTGGTTTGTGTTTCAGATGAGCTTTTAGGCCGTAGTTTCCCTCCTCTGTGTGCTGCTCGCTCTTCATCACCATCTGTTTATCCTAAGCCTTCCTGCAGCTTTAGCGGCTAAAGCAATGTGGACCTGGGTTTGCTGCAGCTCTTCTCCATAAAACTCTGTGCGTTTGTTTCCCTAGGAAGCTGAGGACAGTGGTGAGGACCAGGGAGAGACTCTGAGACGAAAATTTAGAGACCAGAGAGAGAAGAGAAAGAAAAAGGTGCAAGCATGTGGTTTGTACTTTGTCTCATGGCACAATCATACTCATGTTACGTCTAACTGAAGCGGTGGCTCCTGTTTATTAGTTGCTGGAGCAGGGTGTTTTGCAGAAGTCTCATGATGCTGAGGATACAGAGGATGTTTCCACCTCTCAGCACTACAGTCTAAATGAGAGATCAGCTGATTCTGTGGTTTCTACAAGACCCCCAACTGGTTCTCAGGGAGGTATGTGTTCTTGGTTAAGGATAAATACTGGCTTAGCAAAAGTATTTATACACCTTAAACGTTTTCCCATTTTGTCATGTAACATTCACACTTTTGAATGTTTTCTTTGACCTTTTTTTGCAATACATACACAAAGCAGCATGTAATTGTAAAGGGGAAGGGAGAAAAATAACTGCTTCCCAAACATACAATCTCATAGATGAAAAAGTGGCCTGTTTTTTTTTTTTGTTTTGTTTTTTTAC